ATATATATATATATATATACATATATATACACCGTCCAGATTTGTGTCATGTTTCCACCCACTGACAGGTTAAACGTAGATGCACGTGGCTCACGCACATCATAGCAATGAAGTGACTACATTGCACGCTCATGTTCAGTCAAATTCAGGTCACACAAAAGAGACTCCTACCCGCACAAGTGTTAAATTATCATCTGCAAACTGAGATATTACAGACACAATGTTACGAGACGACAGATTTCCTCGATCTCTTTGTTGTCTGACAGTCAGTCCCTCGTCAGTTTCTGTTTCTCCGGAAGACGCCGGCATGATGTTGACATTTTCGATGCATCCGACGCTCCGCCCACATGGGAGGGACGTACAAACAGTATTGCTTGAGTAAAGTCTCCGCCCTGTGGTTTGGTTTGGATATGACAGGATGGCGTTAACGTGCCAGGCGCACGTTATGTATATGTAATAAAAACAGAAATTGCAATCATTTTCACTTGGCACTGTAAATATCAAAGTTACTCTGCCAAAAGCAAATATAAATGTATATATATACATAAATATAAATATAAATATCAATATCAATATAAATATAAATATAAGTAAGTAGTCCATGCCTATAAATGTGTGTATATAAATATATATTTGTATATATAAATGTATATCAATATAAATGTATATATAAGTAGGTAGTTCATGCCCATTGCAACTGAGATTCAAATGATCGACCTATTAGCCTACCGGTGGAATCAGGTCCGCATCTTTGTCTGCACAACTTGACCTAGATAACTTCATACCTGCTGTACCCTGTTTCAATGCACAAAGCAAAAGGCTCAGACAGAAAATGTTATGTTCTTCTTATTGTTGTGCATATTTATAATAATTCATATTTTGTGCAAAAACGCACATATGTCCCCATTAATGAAAAAAAAAAAAAAAAGTCAGTTCTTTATAGCAGTCACATGCAGCAGATGCTGCAAAGTGAGACATGTTTAGTAACAGACATCGCTGAGGAGTGACCACTGACTGTATGACAGATGCACCGGAGCTCTCATCTTGTAAACTGTGAAGTCATGGAGCTACTTGAAGACGGATGACGCCCCCATTACCACAAATTGGCCAATAGGAGTTGAGAGGCAGAGTTGTCCTCCTGGCCGCCATTAAAGAATTCAATCCATGAACTGAAATAATGGAAATCTGCAGGACCCATGGATCTGGCAGAGAAAAGTAGCCGATGAGTAGTGTCGCTAAATTGGCATTTCGTCTGTTTTAGGAGTAGTTTTACTATGAAGGAGCACTGTGATGGTTTTAGCGAAAAGGAGGGCGGTGTAGCTAATTGTTTTATTTAGCTAGCAAGCTAGCGCTGGAGCTCTGGTATGTTAGCTTTTGTGCTAGCAGGCTAGCAGAGATCAGGGGGAGGGGAGAGTTCCTTTGCTTTGAAATTGTTTCAGATCAGCTAGCTAGCATTAGCGTTAGCATTAGCATTAGCACACCAGGGACTAAGCTTTTGGGGTGAAGTTTTTTTTAGTTTTTGAGCTCTTATTTTTATTGCGCATCTAACTTTTCTGGTGTTTGATTCAACGTTGGTCTTTTCGGGTGATGTTAACGTGGACTATTTGGCGTTAAGGTAACGTAGCTGCAAGCTTGCGGCTAACCAGATCAGACAATACATTTCAAATAGGATTGATGAGTCGAATAGCTAAAAGCTTACAGTTGACGCTATCTGGACTGCCTGTCTAACGTTAGCTTAGCGCTGCCGGGCTAGCGGTGGCTAGCGCCGGTTACAAGTTGTCTGGTTGACTAGCGGTAGCTAACTGTAGCTAGCAAGTTGGTCAGCGCTTTAACGGGATAATTACGAGAGAACACCGCTCCGCCAGAGACTTAACTACATCAGCTATTGCCCCCGATGGTGATTGAGACAATGGACTTTAACGTTACAACCACGCAGTGAAAGGATGAGTTCGTGCTTTGTACCAAACGGGGCCAGTTTGGAGGACTGCCACTCCAATCTCTTCTGCCTGGTAAGTCACACACTGTTCTCTGCGCTAGCTAGCGTTAGCTATGATACTGAGAGGCCAGAAAGCCATTTTGGCTAATCAGGCAACAAGCTTTGTAACGTCAGTTGCAGACTGGCGTGAAGGCATCGGGCCTGCAAATCGTGATCTAACTAACTTTCACAATATAGCACATACTGCAAATTATCTACATTAAAGAGTTGCCCATGAAAATGGCATGCTAGTGTGTTTACACTGCTTTGGTTACAGAAATACCCAACAAGCATTCATGTTGGTAACATGATGGTAACAGGTCAAGCCAACAGGCGAATTATTGAGAACATGTCACAAACATCATGTTTTTCTATAATTGAAGTGACACTGTAATATTAAATGATACACATTATGGAAGGTAAGTCAAATAGTTACTGTTTTAAATTAGAAAAACGAATCTCATTTTAGAGAGTGGTGTGTCACCAATAGTAATTAATAACTGCTGACTACATTTCTACATGACAGTTATGTTTTAGGCGTGATTGTAGAGTCACATGTACAAAGTATTGCAAAACTTTCCAAGATGCCAGCAAGTCTGTTTTCAGCTTTATTTCATTCAAAGTGATTTTCTGTATGACAGCAGTCTTCAGCTTCCCAGTTGTGTGTGTGTGTGTGTGTGTGTGTGTGTGTGCAGGACAGGAAACACACACACTCTCACTGAGTTATGCAGTCAACAACAGATGATTGGCTTAATGCTGTGCAGCTATGCTGTGTTCATTCTCACTTTGTTTTGCTCTTTCTCTTTAGGCCGATTTGACTGGAATAAAATGGCGGCGTTTTGTGTGGCAAGGACCCACCTCTTCGCCGATCCTTTTCCCTGTGACCGAGGAGGACCCTATCTTGTGTAGTTTCAGCCGATGCCTGACGGCAGATGTGCTGAGTGTGTGGAGAAGGCACCAGACCCCGGGTCGCAGAGAGCTCTGGCTCTTCTGGTGGGGGGACGACCCCAGTTTTGCCGAACTAATCCATAATGAGCTCTCTAGTAAGTGCATGCAACATCTCCATGGTCATCAGAATCAGTTACACTCAAAATATGTTCCATTCCCCTGTGTAAATGGCAACAATATTTTGACATCTACCCTAAATGATCTTCATATTCACATATAATCTTAGCAGTTATTCCAGGGCTTTGGAATTGGTGCCTCAATGTTAAAAACAAAGACTCAAGTGTGTAGAAGTTATTAAAAGCTGCAGGCAAAATTGGTCCATTTGTGAAGAACTGCTGTTCATCTTTAAACATGTTTAGTGTTTGAAGACACTGCCAACCATTCTAACCTGCAGCAAATATTTAGAATGCAGTTTTAATGATGCGTAGTCTGATGACGATAAGATGACGTCGCCTAACTGACTTGTTTCTGTCAGGTCTTTTAAAGTTTAAAGCCTTGTGGAAGCCATTGGCTCTCAGCCACGGAGGTGCAAGTTTGTGTGGTAGCATAATAGCAAGGTGTTGTGCATCAGAGTCACCGAACACAGTCTTGATTTTAGATGAAGGTTTAGGTCTAGCTTTGATAGTCTTCATATTTGTGAAGCAATTCCCCGTAGGGGCTGCCACACTGACCAGGTAGTCTGTTTCCTGTCTTCAGGAGTGTCAAGTGTAACTTGAATACAGCACTGATCGACCATTACAGAGACAGACAGAGCAGCAACACATTCACAACTCTCAGATGAAATGCAATAACATTAGGAGGGTTTATTTTGTAGTTTGGACTTTGCATTTAGTCTTTATGATGTGTTTTTTAATGAAACATCATTGAACAGAGCCGCATTCAAAAAATCCATGGGTAGGCTTCATCCGTGGAACAGATTTAAATCTTTTCACAATAATGTTTCACTTTATATAAGCAAAGCGTTTATATTTTTTTTGTCTCATAAGCCATTCATGGTAACATTTAAGGGGCTGACTTATTTTATTTTGGATGATGTTATTGTATAACTAATCAGATGAATGTTGAAACGAAATGTTTTGTTTTTTTTAATGTTCAAATGGGTCACTTCAGTTACTACTGTGGTCAGTTGTTTACCATTTAAACTCTGTCCCCTACAGGTCAGAACCATTTAGCACACCACAGTTTACAGTTGACATGAGGCAGTTCCTCAGGAAAGAGAGAGGTCAGTTTGTTAGTATCTGGTCTAATGTATCTGCCTTGTTTCAGGTGAGGAGGATGGCGAGTGGGAGAGTGGCCTGTCCTACGAGTGTCGAACACTCCTGTTCAAAGCCATCCACAACTTGTTGGAGCGGTGTCTCATGAACCGCGGCTTTGTTCGCATCGGCAAGTGGTTCGTTAAGCCATACCAGAAGGAGGAGAAGACCATTAATAAAAGGTATGCTCCGCTTCCGAACATCCAACAACAACAACAATGTTTTATGACCGACCATCATTTGAAAAATTGCAGCCAAGACTCAACTAGTTGTCAAGACAAGTTATAGCTGGGCTGCTTTCTGTTTGGATCTGTGGGAATAACCTGTTGTATTGGTGTTCAACATGGTTTATGCTTTACTCCGCTGTCTGCTGCTCTGGTTTTTCTCTATTTAACAGAAATACTGTTCTCACTCACTGATGGACTTTAACTGATTCTACTTTTGGCACTGTTAAGCTATTTTTAATGAGTCTCAACATTTCCTGCAGATGTTTCACAATAATATCCGTCCAGTAAAAAGGAGGAGATTATGCCTGAAAGGTTTTCATTTAAACATGCTGCTGACGACATTATTTTAAAGTGTCAAAAAAGTTGTTCAGAAAATAGGTCGGCTGAACTAGTGACAACAAGGTTGTATCGATGCCGATGGTCCTTTCCACCTACATCATAGCGGTCAAGCTTACATGTACCTCAAGGTAGTTTGTTTATAACAGAAAAGAAGCTGCACAATCACTGCAGGTTGATGTGGCAGAAGAGCAGGATGTCTACTTGTGCTGAAGGGCTGAACATTAGTCAGTATTTGGTCTGTAGGTACTGGTCAAGAAGCTTTGCTGCAGTACAGTTGTCTTTATAAAGAGGTGGATTTACTATCAAGCGTGACATATTTGTTGGGTGTTTGAAGAACGCATGCAGTGTTTTATGCTTGTTTATGACCGAAGCCTGTGAGTGTTTACTGCAGTGTGTAAAGCCTCACTGGGCAGAGGTCCTCATTGTTCTGAAAGTTGTGCTTTAAACGTCCCATAACAATTCCTGTTAAAATTCCCATTTCCCCAGAGACGGTGCTTGCAACTGTATCGTTTCGACTATCTTGTTATAAGCTGATGGCTGTTTAAGGGAAAGAGACAGAATGTCTTTTAAAAAACAGCTTAAACAAATGCACACAA